GGACAGCTAGGGCTACAGGGAGACCCTGTCTCAAAAAGACCCCCCCCCCAAAATAGAAAAATCAGAGGTCTGGAGAAATAGCTCAATGGTTAAAAGCACTTGCTGCTGTTGCAGAGGACCCAGGGTTTGGTCCCCAGCACCCACATGGTAGCACACAACTATCCAGTTACAGGTGATCCATCGCTCTCTCCTTAACATCTGGGGGCAATAAGCACACATGTAGTGCACTTACATACATGCAGACAAAACACTCCTACTCATAAAACAATCCCAGCACTCCAGAGACACAGGTAGGAGGACCTCTCTGAGATGGAGGCCAGCCTGGTCTACATACCAAGTCCAGACCAGCTGGGGCTACAGGGGAGACCCTCAAAAAGCTTAAAAATAATAAAAATTTAAAGTCCCAACCAACAAAAACAAAACCAAACTAAAATTCCAAAAACAAACTTTTTTTTTTAAAGTTGAACAGAAGCCTGGCATAGTGGTGCACACCTTTAATTCTAGCACTAGGGAGGTAGAAACACGACCATCTCTGTGAGACTGAGGCCAGTCTGGTCTACATTGCGAGTTCCAGACCAGCTGGGGCTCAAGACCCGGTCTCAAACAAAAATTGAAGATAGGAAAATTTAATCTGCACTCCAAAAACGCACCAATAACTTTTCCGCTTTGATGGGGATTAACCCTTGCTCGCTCCTGATACCTTCAGGTTTTGAGGCGTCAGACGTTGTCTTCCCCGGGGGTTGTCAACGTGTTGCACGAGGTGGTCCCACTGCGCATGCGCAAAAGCAGGCAGCCTATGCGGGCTTAGCAGTTTTGCGCAGGTGCTGTCTGGGTGGGACCGCAGCACATGCCACAGAATGCCATCATTGGCCAGTTGGGAGAAAGCCGGTGCCCCACGGAACTGAACGTTAGCCACCTCCAGAAAGATGGCTGGGTACTGAGGTGCTGTATCCTCTGGGTCAGGTGAGAATTTATAACCAACCCTTGGGCAGGTGTGGTGTAGCTGATGAGAAACTAAATGAGAAACTAAATCCCTTTTAACAGTCTGGTTCTCCGCCCTTGCCCACTATAGAATCTCAAGCCTATCCTATTGGGCAATTTAACGGGGCATCTGCGACGGTGCACCACGAGCCCAGAAAGTGAGAAGGGTCAGTTGTCATAGTAGCAGAGTAGAGCTGACAACAGCTTAAGAGACAGCAAGAGGCTCCTGGGAATCCTGGAAGCATCTCAGCCAGGTCTAGAGAACACGTCTTACCGTCTCAGTGGGTAGGTGGTACCCCATCTTCCAGGTCTTGGCTGGCAACTGCTGAGAATGAGAGCCCCAGAAAAAAAGAGTACAGGTGTGGTGTAGCTCTTGGCACCGACTGCATGGAAGCCTTAGCCCTTTCTTTTGGAATACTGATGAAACTGGCTAAAATATGTGGCCCTGATGACAGCCCTGGAGACAGCACTACAGCCCCATGCGGGCCATTTAGGAAACAGCTGAAGGCCTATAGGTAGCAGGTGGAGACCAGAGAATCCTGTGATCAAAAATTGGGGATCCAGACAGCAAGAGGTTCCCAGCTCTCATTCAAACTTCAACCACCACAGCTCCAGGATGGCTAGTTTTCTCTAAATGTTGGCTAAATTCTGGTGAAAACTTGTCCCTGAGGCCAACTGAAAGTCCTGTCATCCAACCCCTTTAGCAAAGGAACAGGGAACCAGAGTGGAGTGGCTTTGTCTGCATTGCAAACAGGAAAAAGGAAGTTAGTTTCTGTTGGACCCACCAGTGGCCCTGGATGGGCCTAGCACCTGGTAAGTTATTGAATGAAAATTGCCAAACTTTTTTAAAAGTGGGAGCTCCTCAAGTTCCCTCTCCAAAAAATTCTCAGGGTATTTCAGGCACCTTGGGAACTGGACTCACCAAACCAGGATGACCTTCTAACCATGGACAAGTAACCAGCTGAGGCACAACACATGCCAGCCTTGAGTTCTGTGTAAATGGTGAACATTTGACGGCTTTATCAGGCTTGACTTACTACTGATCCTTAAAAGTGTTGACTATTAGCCAACACTGATGGATCTCCAAGTCATACAGACTTAAGGAACTAAGTAAATGCCTCTCAGGAAAAAAAGCAGTGTCACTGAGATAAATCAAAATCTTCCTTAGCCTGTTACTAATCTATGCTTTCCTTTAGAAAACAAGAAATGTCATGTCCTTGTCCTGACCTGGTAATAGCATTTTGCCCCAAATAGGGTTGTAAATCCTAAAACCCTGGAATATTTCTGCAGTGAGGGATCCAGTAAGGTAGATTTTATAAACTCATATGTCTTACAAAAAGGTCCCTAACCCCAGAACTACATATATCCCTGTATCATACACACATAATGAAAATGCTCAACCTCATTAAAACTTTTCACATTAGTTAAGTTAGGGTTGGCGATACACATTCGTGAGTTGAAACTAGAAGCTGGAAGCAGTATGGGAATGTTAATGCACCCATAGAGCCACTTTTGGAATTTGCCCTCTATATAATTCTAATAAATGTATGCACATACTCATTCTTCATAAATGTTAGAAACCCAAATGTTTATGATACATTCACAATAATGAAATGCCCTGTTCTGAATAAAGTAGACCCGTACAGGTCATTCTGAACCAGGATCCAAGATATGCTTGGTGGAAAACATGGAAATACAAGAGGCAGATGTGTAGGTGCTCAAGATGGATACTCTAAAAGAACTTGGGGATCAGGTAGAAAAGACCCTTACTTTTCATGGTCCAGTTTTTTAGTGTTTGGATTTTTACCATGTTCATGTGTCACTTTAAAAATAATCCTGAATTGCTACTCCTTTAAAGCCAGGGACTGCTGCCTTTTTCCTGCGGCCTTGTCCCAACATTCCTGCTACAGATAAGGAAGACCATCACCTTCCTCCCAGGTCATCAGACAGTTCCAAGCAGGTCAGCTATTCCATAATTTTCCCAGGAAAATCCCTGTATTTTATCTTCCTACCCAGAACAGTAGGGAAATAGGCAGCATTCAGCAAACCTGAGGTTGGATTTAACACATCTAGAAGTTGAAGCTTAAAACACCTAGGAAATGCTCCCCACCCCCCATGTCTATGTGAGTTAAGAATGAAGCAGAAAACAAGACAGTGGAGACTTTAAAAGTCACAGGGTAGAGCTTAGAGAAAGGTCCTGCATCTTAAATAAGAATGTAGATTGATTTCATGAGTCTCACCAGTAGAAATTTATAGTAATGCATTTTGATTACATGTGTAAGTTAAAAAAACTTGAGTATTACCTGCCAATAAAAATGCAGGACTAAGTTATTTTTAAACAATAGGTTTGAGGACAAAAATGAAACACACACTGCCTAGACAGAGTCAACAGAAAGCAGGATGAGAG